TGGTGTCTAATCTTAGCTCTATCACATTCACCTAGTGACTTCAGACATCTCTGCTTTGTTTCCTATTCCTAATAGAAACAAGCTTCTTACAAGAATGTCACGAAAAAGCTCAAAAATCAGGTGTAAAATACCCTTACAATTCATGTACAGTTTTCAGGATAGAACGTGAAAAAAAGCTTTATTAAAGGGAATAAATATTCAGCAGTAAAACTGTTTCTCCAGCTCTAGTATACAACTTCAGTTCTCCGTGAGTCATAAAACAAACAGTTTGAAAGGGTATTCTGCAGGAAAAAAAATGGACTACTAACACAATTTCATAAATGTATATTGGTTATTTAAATCAGAATGATTTATTCCTCATTAGTCTGCTTTATTTGAAAATTTCAGTAAGATACTATTAAAGCATATGATGCCAAATTGTAATTTTTTGTGTGTAATTTCAGATAAATTTAGAAAAAGCAAGGCACCTCAAAACACTTCCATCACTAAAATAAATGATTTCAGAGTATTTTAGTAACATAAATTTATTTTGTGTTGTAGCATTTTATATGAACCATAAATCAAACCCTTCTTTCACATGTTAACTTGAACAAACAGCATACTATTTGTAGGAAATGATACACATTAAATAATACCTACATTATAACAAATATCTTATATGAGATTTGAAAGAGAAAGTGAAGATTACTCACCACACAATGTCTTAGGATAATATCTTTCAGGTATATTAGTAGCTGGTGCTCTCTTAAAGTTGAGTAAACTTGAAAGCTGATGAATTGGATTGTAGACGCTTAAGGGTGACTTTTATATGTAGGTCTTCCTCTCAGCAAGAGAAGCTTTTATGTTGTTACAGATGACATCACTCCCAATTCTCTGGATCACAAGTATAGGACAGAACAACAGACAACCCCATTGGGTGGTGCCCATTCCTCTTAAGATTTAGATCATTAGATATTAATAGTAACACAGTATGTGGCTGGGAAAAAGAATTATGCAAAGATTTCTAAAAATTTTAAATTGCAATTCTGAATTCTGACTGGGTTAATGAATTTGTATTATTAAAAAGGACAGACTTCAATGATTTATGGTGAAGTCATCATTTTAAATAAAACATCATCATTGAAAATAAAAACTGAAAATAAGTATATGTTTATAACCATATTATTGATACAGTTACTATGAGGATTAAAATGAATCATATTATCTCATTCATACTTTACAAGCCATTTTCAACTAATCCACATCAGTCCTGTTCATCTTTTAAAAAAATAGATATAGTGCTTTCTTAAAGGTGTTAAAAATACTTTGAGAAAATGCTCTCAGTATACAATGAATTTTAAGGGCTTCAAAAGTGAAATAATTTAAACCTTTATGTAACTTACATTTTATTCATGCATTTAATTTGCAATAATAAAACATTTGATAAGCACTAACTATACATATATTATTCCAATATTATTCCACTGAGTTTTCCTAGCAATCCTTTCAATAAATACAATCATTAGCCCTATTTTCACATGAGGACACTGAGCTTTGGAAAGTAAAGAAAATGGAATTCAACAAAGGTTTTTATGACTCTGAGTCATTTTTATTCTTACTACCTCAGTTTCCCCCTAGAAACTAACAGATCTCCCTTCTTTGAACTCCAGTCCTCATTTTAAATTGCCTCGCCCTTTGCAGCTGCATTGCTCAGGTCTGGATTCTTGTGTTCCCCACCTGATGATTGAAGACCTGTTCCAAAACCTAATGGAGGCATATTCTGCCACCTATCAGATTTCAAATATGCCAACACCTGGTCTCCATCTATTCCATCAAGGCCCTTCGAATGCCCTTGGTGTACCTAGGATTCATTTAAGCAGGTTAAATGAATTAAGTCCCAGAATTGGATTAGTTCTCTTAACTCTGGTCCTATCCAG